CACACACCTTCCTGCCTCACACACACTCTCCCTGCCTACACACCTTCCCTGCCAAACACACACCTTCCGCTCCTCTACACACCCTCTGCCTCTCTCACTCACCCTCCCACCGCCACACTCTCCCTGTACACACACACCTTCCCTGCCTCACACATATCTTTCCTGCTCACACACACCTTCCTGCATCACACACACTTCCCTTGTATCACACACACCTCTCCTTGCCTCACACACACTCCTCTCTGCCTACACACATCCCTCCCTCATCACACACACCTTCCCTGCCTCACATATCTTCCCTGTGACACACACCCTCCCGCTCCCACACACACCTCCCTGTATCACACACACCCTCCTGCCTCACACACACCCTCCCTTGTAATACACACACCTTCTGCCTTACAACATACCTCCCTGTGAATACACACACTCCTCCCTTGCCTCACACACTCTCCTCATCACACACACCTTCCCTGCCTAACACACACCTTCCTGCTCCTCACACACCTTCCTGCCTCTCACACACACCTCCAGCTCACACACACTCTCCCTGCATCACACACACACCTTCCTGCTCCTCACATCTTCCCTACCACACATACTCCCTGCCACACACACCTTCCTGTCTCTCACACACACCCTCCCTGCCTCACACACACCCTCCGTGCCTCACACACACTCTCCCCGCCACACACACCCTTCCTGCCATCATAACGCCTTTCCCTTGCCTCACACACCTTTCCCTGCCTCTACACACACTCTTCTTCCACACACTTCCCGCCAACACACCTTCCTGTTCACACACCTTTCTGCCTCTCACACACCTCCTGTTACACACACTTCTCCTTTGTCACACACACCTTTCCTTGTATTACTCAAGCCTTCCCTGCCTCTCACACACCTTCCTTGTCTTCCTCACACACCTTCCTTGTTCCCACACACTCCTCCCTGCCTCCTCCACCCTTCCCTGCCTCACACACACCTTCCCTGCCTCACACATTCTTCCTGCATCACACACACCTTCCCTGCCATCAATCTTCCCTGTCTCTCACACACCCTTCTCTCCCACACACCCTCCTGCCTTACACACACACTCTCCCCGTATCACACACACCTTCCCTGCCTCACACACACCTTCCTGCCTCACACACATCTTCCCTGACCACATACACCTTCCTGCTAACACACACCTTTCCCTGTCTCATACACACCCTTCTGTTCACACACACCTCCTGCTCCACACACTTCCCTGTGCACACACACCTTCCCTGTCATCACACACACCTTCCTGCCTCATACCTTCCCTGTGATCACACTACACCTTCCTGCCAAACACACACCTTCCCTGTCTTCACACACCCTCTGCTCCTCCACACACCCTCCCTGCCTTACACACTCTCCCTGCCTCACATACACCTTCCCTTCTGCATCACACACACCTTCCTGCCTCACACACTGTCCCTGTCTCTCACACACACCATCCCTGTTCCCACACTTCCTCCCTTGCCTCCTCTACGCTCTTCCCTTCCTCACACCTTTTCCCTGCCTACACACCTTCCTGCCACACACACACCTTCCCTTTTCTCACACACCTCCCTGCTCCTTATACACACACCTTCCCTGCCTCTATCAGCCTCCTGTCTCCCACACACACCTTCCTGCCTCACACACACACCCCTCCCTGCCTCTCACACACATCTTCCCTGCCTCACACACCCTCCCTGCCTCTCACACACCCTCCCTGCCTCTCACACACCCTCCGTCTCACTCACGCCTTCCCTACCTCCTCACACCTTTCCCTGCCTCACAGACACCTCCCTGCCGTCACACCACACCTTTCCTGCCTCACAGACACCTTCCCTGACATAAAATTTGATAATTCTGAGAGAAATTTTGACAGTGATATATAATGCAAGAATCTTAGATTAAATAATGTTTCCCCTCCAAATTTATCCTTTTCTTAAATAAACCAGAGAAAATGGTTTTACGGGCTAACACATTTAGATATTTTTCTTATAATTCAACGCAGAATATTAAAGTTTTTCTTTTACGTGGTAAATATAAAGTAATTATATTGTAATACATCAACTAAGAGAAAATATAATTAATAAACTTACATCAGAAACTTATTCCATGACAGTAAAATATATATCCAGGGCGACCACATGAGCCCAACAAGGAGCCGAGTACTGTCTCTTGTGATTTCTAATTATTGATGGTCTAGTCTAGTGTAATGCGCTTAAAAGACCTTAGTTGGTGAAGCACAGTATAGTATTATAACATCAATGTTTCTTTCGGTTATCACTATACGATGTGTTTCAATATCAGTAACTCGAGACTGGAAAACATAATCCCTGCTTCACATGCACTCCTTCTCTCCTTCACACACACTCCTTCTCTCCTTCACGCACATTCCTTCTCTCCTTCACACACATATTCTCTCTCCCTCACACACACCTTCCCCCCTCACACACTTTCTCTCCCCCATACACACCTTCTCTCTCACGCACCCCTTCCCACCCTCACACACACCTTCTCTCCCTTACACCCATCTTCCCTCTCTCACATACACACACACACACACACCATCTCTCTCTCACGTACACCTTCCCTCCTACTTTTCCTCATTCATACCTCCCTCCCCAACACACAAACGCACACCTTCTCTGCCTCGTGAGATAGTAAAGGAACTTTAGCACAATAAAACACCACTGTGCAATCCCCCTAAAACACAAGACATCTTTTACTTTTGTTGTTGATGTCAGTAGCTAGTGTTTCATTTTTTTACCTTAGCATTTCATAAGATTGATTTATTGACTGTCTGACTGATTGACTGACTAAAGTTATAGAGGTTAATACACAACTACACATTATATCATAGTTTATTGTCATGGATTTTGTTACATTGATATTATATTAAAACGTATAAAAGGTAATGTTTTTTTCTGATCGTTGAGCACTAAAGAGTTTACTAATTACTACTGTTTTGGCAAAATATCCCCAGCAGATGAAAGTTCCATTAAAGTATTCCCTCTATATCAGTAACAATTTATTTGGCTTATAATTTATATCTGAATAGCTCGTATAAACAAACAATACAAAGACTTCCTTAATAACCTACCACAATTTAGTTTTATGTTTCTTGTGTGATAAAAATAATGCCATGAGTAATCCAAGAATTTTAACATTTCAAGAATATTGCTGCATCATGTATAGAATTCCTTAAATGCTTAGTAATAGTGATTGATACATTTCACATAGCACAAAATTCTGAAAAAATAATCACAACACTGTCTCTACCTGTAAAACTAAATTAATCTACACTAAAACGTCTAAAATATACAGTAATTACAATTATATTAAAACCACCTTAACTAGATATAGCCACTTAATACCAGACGAAATTTACTTAGATAACCTTTTGGTGTTAAGTGAACTTATCTAGTTAAGGGAATCTTAGTATAATTTTAGTACAGTACTATTTTGGGATGTAATATTTATAGTTACAATAAATTCAATATTCAATCAAGGGGGCTATTAAACGTAAGAATCTTTGTAGATCCAACCCCTGAATTCAATGCTCCCTAATTCTCATTAAATACTGGGTAACAAACAGCAAATAGACCAGAAAACCTGTCCCCCCAAATTATCACGTGTTTTAGGAATTCTCTCATGTGCAGAGCAATTCTGAAAACAACAATATGTTCCATTATTACACACAATGTACTATATATCCGAAAATTCCAATCGTAAGAATATTTTTCATTATTTTGACAGCATTGTGATTCCATTAATACTGACCGCACATCACCATCAATATTCCTATAAAAAAAGAAACTGATCAAACTCCAGCTACCGAGACCAGTTTAATATCAGGAAATATAGACAATATTGAAAGGAAGGTTAGAGCGAGTGAGAGGTGTTTGTTTACTAATACTTGGCTTGAAGCATATACTGTACATGTACAATACTGTACTGTATTTAGTCTAACTGGACCCCTGTTCTTCTGCTGCTGGTGGACGTATATTGACAACGCATATCATTGATACCTGTATATTGACAAGAAATGTTATTAATACCTGTATATTGATAACACATGTTGTTGACACCTGTATACAGAATTGAACACTTGCTGTTGACACGTGTCTTATTATTATCGTGAAGTTTGTCATTGTAACTCCTGTTGTTTGTGCTTGTAATTGTTTTTCTTTATTCTTCCCACTTTTAAAAACAAAATTCTACCCTCGTTGTCATATACAAAAAGAACAGGTATATACAGGGTTCCTCGTTATTCGAGCTCAACAGGGACCAGAAAAATGAATTGGATAGCGAATCCAAGGATGGGGGGATTAATTCCCATGGGAATTAATAGGAATAGAATCTAATGGACCATCACATTGCAAATGACACTCAAAAAGCATATTTTGATATCTTTTAACATTTATATATCTTAGAAACATTTGTTAAACATTTGATTACACATTATTTTACAAAATGATTTAGCTTTATAAGTTGTTCAAGGTACTTAAAGTTATTTGGGGTTGGTGTGTCGACGTGATGCAGGCTACCTAACCACGAGGTCAGGCCATTGTGCACACACGCACTTTGTACACAAATTTCAGTGAAAGTGGTTCAATGAGACACATTATAAAATATTTAAAAAATTAATAATCTTATCATATCAATTAATTTTATAAGCTAACTTTCAAACGTAGAGGTGTTGGGCTTGATTGGATGGATAGGGGTGGATGCCGGGAGAGGAGGATTAGTCGGAGGATGAGAGAGGCACTACTGCCATCTCATCATCATCTCTTTGAGGTGGTGGCCTTACACCAGAAAGACCTTTCTTTGGTTTGGAACATATGGCTAAAAAAAATTCTACCAATGTCACTAAAGGCACAACAAACTAACAAATAATCCTTTGCGCACTTTCAAAACAAGGCTTGCAGACACGGGCGACTGTTATTGTACATGGTGGCACGGGCGAGAAGGATGAACTTTAGAGAATGGCCGGAGAGGGAACTTCAAACAAAACTTATGCTCTCAACCGACCGATTTCATTTGTGGGATCCCCGTAAGTTCATGGAATTTTTACGTATACAGACAGTTCTACAATAATTTGGGCTCGTAACTGTGGATCCATGAATAATGAACAGTCGGATAACGAGGACCCCCTACTGTCTCCTGTTGACGTATACAGAGCAACAGGTATCCAATTTCTCCTGTTGTCATACAATAAACAAGTATTAATTGTTTCCCATTATTGTGTAAAAATAATATGCATCCACTTCTTCCTGTTGTCATATATGAAGACAACAATTATCCTCCGCTGCAAAAAGACGGCATCTAATTGCTAGCAACTAATAGCTGAATCACTATCAAAATAACATGGTGTCTGAAAAAAATGAAACAATAAATGACAGATAAAAATGTAAATTTATTTCAAAATTTTCGCTTTTGTGTGTCATGTTTAGTCAGCTCGCAATAACTATCAATTCATCATTTATTTCACTTTTCTGGGGATCAATGCTGAAGTAACTTTCCCACGACAAAGGGATTTGCTATGTGTTAACTCCAGAATAAATAACACAGCATGGAAATAAATTTTACATTCCCTGACTGAACTTAATTATGAAAGTTGAAAAAGTTACCAAGTGAATTATAGCTTCATACACTAAAATATTGACACAGGAGCGGTTATGACACACTGCAACATCTTTATAAATTAGTCAATCAACTGCTATTGTAGACATGTTGCCTTATGTATACATGACAACTGGGAACCAGTATAATGTTTCAGCATGAGATTGTAGAACCTAACACAGACATAGAGGAAAATTTTAGTATTGCTAAGAAGAAATAGCGACAGGGTAGAACAACATACCCTTAAATAAAGACAATACTGTAGGGTGTTTCAAAGTTTTCCCTTAAAAAATCTTTAGAAATTAGGGTATCCAAACATTCATCCTTAAATCCCCGGAAGAGAAGGTCCGTACTGTAAGCGTATGTCATGAATTATATATAAAAAGGCACAAGGGGCTATATGACCACACACAATGTGATCTACTCAACACCGATTCCCCGATACAATATGTACAAGATTGTCATTGTCACTGTCTGGGTTTGTATTCCTACTCGTACGCACTGAGTGGCATTACAGTATTTATTACAACACACACACACACAAGTAACCACATGACGTCACCGAGTTTATGTACATTTGTCAAAAACAAACTATTATTTCAGGAATTTTTGATGATGATAACCTGAAAGTAAGACCCAATTATATCATTTAATCACTGTTCCTCACCTCTAGGAGGGAAGTTTGTGGTGGCCTCCTTATTACAACAAATAATTGCCTCAAACCACTACAGGCACCTCAGTAAATTATAATCAACCATCTCTGGTTTACATACAGTATGTCCAGTGGGAACAGATCAAATTTAGATAGACCTCAGTGGTGTGCTACTGTTAAAACAGTTCAGTGAAGGTTTGTTTCAACTCTCAAGAGTGAACATAAAGAGTAGAGGCAGTTTCACGTTGCCGGAAGCCTTGATGGAGAATACTTCCAGGTAAAACAAGGAAAAATCTGACACTTGAATTGTTCTTATTTGTGTGTTATTCACAACTTTTCATTAATAAGAAAAGTTTGAAAGTATAGTAGTTATGTTGGATCAGTAAACTAATTTTTTTTACGAGAGGCAAATTGCTTCATCTTTCAGTTAAACGAATGAATATATAATATCAACATGGTCATGTTTTATCTTATTCATCAGCAATATTTTTTCTTCATTAATTATAAACCCCAGCATTAATAAAACCAACCACACAAAACAATGACTTACAATTGGTGTCCTGTCATTATTAACTACATTTTTCCGTGTTTCTTCCTCGTATAAAATCCCACTGTCATTTATAGAACTAAGAACACAGAACAATCATTCATTCTTTGGTATAAAACAGCTTTAAAAACATTTCTATCTCAGCATCATACAGAACTTTCTCCCTTCTTCAGTAGCGGAGTGCTGGGGGTGTCCTCCTCGTAACTCGCGTGTCTGGAGAAAGTCACCCTCTTTCGCTCACAGTCAAGGTACTCTGGGGGAGGGGGTGGGAGGCTTCCTTCCATATTCGGGCAGGGGAACTGCTGGGGGTTCATGGTTGATGTATAACAACACTGATCGTTGGTAGGGTTGAGATGTCCCCTCCTGGGTAGTGTAGAGGACCTCGCTGGCTGGTGGATGTAGGTGTGGTGGGTGTGGTGTTGCTGGGAATAGTGGGGATGGTGCTGATGGTGGGGCCCCGGACAGTACGGGTCATGGATGTTTCCCTGTCCCTGTTGGCCACACGTCAGTGGGGGCGCTCCATGGGCTACCCCCAACACGCCACTGTACTGGGGAGGACATGGCTGTAAAGTTAAAAGAGGGTAGATTAATTCATCACTACAGGATGTGTAATGTTTATTGCTGGTCAAGTGGACCTCAGTCCTAAATGGTCCCAACCTTACCTGAATCAACAGTTAAGACTGGGGTTCGTTCATTCCTTAAGTCCATAATCCTAATGGATTTCAGTGCTAGTGGACACCACTCCCAGTAACAAGTTTAAGTTAGGTAAGTTGGGTTATGTTAGGGAATATTAGCACACAAGACCTGTAGAAGCTGAGTTACTGTAATTAATAGGTTCATACACAAAGAGACAATTATATACAGTATTCTTAAACAATAATGGAACGATATAAAAAGAAGAAGAAAATCGATAAAATAGTCCTTTCAGTATATTATACAGCGGCTGTGCAGGTGTTAAACTTTAACTTTTACTTTTCCTCATTGTATTTTGTCGTTCACTTTCTTCTTTTTCATAAATTAAGTGATTCGGGATGTATAAAAGGACTTGGGCTATGATATAGTGCACATAGGGTATGTGTTCCGACTTACGTACATTTCCGAACCCTGTACATACCTGTACATAAAGAATGTATTTACATAAAATATGTACATTAAGTGTGTACTGTATGTACACAAAGTTTGTTCATATGTGAAATATGTATGTATACATAATATGTATGTGCATGAAGTCAAGAGTACCACAACACTCTTTCCCCATATTTATGTGATACTGTAATTATCATTATTATTAATGCAGGAGAAACTGTTTTATTATAAATAGGGAGACTTCAGCATATACTACAAATACTTAACAAGTGGACACAAGCAACAAACAGCAGAAGGGAAGGTACTGACAATGTTAGGTAGGTGGGCGGGGACGGGGGCGTATTTGTAGCGGTCAGAGGGCAGAAGGGTGGCAGCTGGCGGCACTTCATACCCCCTGTACGACGCCTCCTGTAGCGGGATCACGTCAGGGTCAGCGTCGCTCTCAGACTCCGCCTGCTGGAGACAAACTCTTTCACTAATTTTCCTGAACTGCCAGAAATCCTAAACTATCAAAATCTGGCCACAAAGGTACATAATACAGGTGGAAAAGTGATGAGAAGAAGTCCACATAATACCACTTATCGTCTCACTTGAACCAGTAAGAAACTTGCCAACAACATAGATAATGACATGCGGAAGGATTTAGAAAGTTGTAAGATACTGTACCACAAACACACTCTCCTGAACCACCAGCAACACCACTTCAAAAACTTCTCAAAACTTTAAATGAAATTAATCCCCTCACTCACCTGTATGTCTCTGTCCAGACAGGTAACTTCATGTTCTGGAGTCATTAACACAGGTGACTCATGACTACACTTGGGAGATTTGCTGGCATCTCCCTGAGGGATGTGTTTCACAGCCACCACCTCCGTTTGCTGTAAGGACTCTGACAGCGGACGAGCCCTTCGAATGATTCGTCTCCTACGGAAGGTTATAAACAATAAGAAAATGATCACCAGGAACACCAGAGCCGAGCCTACTCCGAGGACTCCTACGATGAAGGTAGGAAGAACCGGTGAATCGAAGTAGGACTCATCAGATCCGTCTGGAGATCCTTCGTTGACTGCGTTCGTTTTCCCGCCGTCTCGGACTTCGGCTTCCAGGGGGCCATCTGGAGAAAGGACAGTGGAATGAACAAAAAATTTCTTATTGACATAACAAATCTAGCTACAAAATTCACGGGGTGAGAACAACCCATTGTTAACTTGTTAAATAAGTTATTAAAAATATCTAACAAACTCTCATCGTATTACTAATGGCCATAATTATACTATGAACTATACAGTACATGGTAACTAAGAACCACTTACCATGCAGCTGGTATATGGAGCCGTTGGTGCCGATGCTACTGACAGTGAGGTGAGTAGCACCGCTGGATCCCTTATCGTTAACTGCCCTGATCACCAGCTGGTACTTCCCCTCCACCTGCAGCCCCTCCACCTGTGAGAGACACTTTGTTAGACTGTAAGACACACACGGGACTCCACGGCACCACAGCAAGACTAGACAATGTAAGCAATCAAATTCTCTTACATTCAAGGCTTCTGGGCTAAATGTAAAAACCTGATAATGACGAGCTAAACATAATATACATTTTAGAAGCATCTGGAAAGGAAATGTAGGTCAGAAATGATTAAAGCACACAAAATTACACAATAATATAAAATTATCCAAAAAAATCCTAGGGCGGGTTTAAATCATGTACAGTATGTACCGTTAACTTTTATATTAAATAAAAACTTCAATGGTGAAGAACATGCTGAGGTAGACTAAGAGAGGATGGAAATGTGCGTCATCATCACAAGAGAGAAGAGGGACACTCGGCGGTAATGACCTACAGGTTGACAGCCAAAAAACCCCAAAGAAGCAAGCAAAGAGAGACTTAAGCCCTTGGAGGAAGATATGATGTTATAATGTTATCACTGTGCTTCAACAACTCAAAGTCTTTAAGCGAGTGACAAGGTTAATAATTATACCAGGCTCATCAACAACTAAAAGTATGAAGATAATAAATAGTGTGTTCTTAAGTTACTCCTCGTATATTAAGAGAAAACAGCAATGATATATATGAAATAGAAAAGGGGAAACTATGTTATATTGAGAACTATGTATTCTTACTTTATTTTTTTTTAAATTCCTTTTATGATTCAGACTCAAAGAAAGTCAGAAAAAAGGCACAAAGGATCTAGTATTGTAAGTAACCATGAGCAGCAGCAGCACTGGGTCAAGAAGCTACGTTGAAACGAATGGAACAACCCAAGATTCAGTAACAGAGCATGATACACATATCTAGATACACATATCTAATCAGTGTTCAAGAATTCTAATTTATCGCCAATCAAGGATGAACGCCATCATCAGTCTGATCTTCACTGTGAACCATACAATCTCTGTGTAGTTGTAAACAGGTTAGATAGAATATAGCAAATACATCAAGATAGTTGTACTGTAGTGGATTCCTCCCCTACAAGCGCCGTATGTCGCTGGGTAGCCAAACCTTCTCGAATTCCCCAGCCTACGCCTCCAGTGCCGCCTGTCGGAGCGGGTGTCAACTATCTACCCACGCCTACCCCCGCCTTATATGACCTGACACCGCTGTGACCAGCCTCTATCTACTCACTGCCACCAGCAAGCAACACCTCTTCCTCCGCTCCAGCCTGGCGGCTCCCGCTCCTGCCGGCGACCTTGGCGTCCCCCAAGCCGCGTGTCCTCCTCTGGGCACCCTCACCAACCAGCTCTCTCTACTCAACGCTTGTAACCATGCTGCCTACCCAGCAACAAGCTGCATTGCACATCCAATACAATATGTATACAGAGAGCACATTCTGAGTTTCCTTTCGCCATCCCATCCTGAGTGTGAACCAATATCTCATCACCCCACAGTACCAGAGTTTATTACTGTAGTTTCCGTCTGCTATCTAGCCCACAAAATTTGGAATGACGTTGGATCAGCAAAGAATTTCCCCTAACTCTTGGAATAAAACTGTTTATAAATGAAGAGAGAGAGAGAGAGAGAGAGAGAGAGAGAGAGAGAGAGAGAGAGTAGGATGAACTCACGTAAAAGTCCGGGTTGGAGGAAGCAGTGAAATTGAGGACTTGTTGCCTGACGGTGCCCTTGAGGGTGGCCTGCAGAAGGAAGTGTTGGGGTAGACCACCACTGCCCCCTGCCACACACTTCACCCTGACAGAGGTGCGTGTCCTGCCCCACACCGTGCAGTTACTAGGGGCCTCCGGCTTACCTGTGTGAGGGAGTGGTGATGAGTCAATGTATAAGAGAAAGTGAAAGTTATATAGATGGACAGAAACAAATACATATGTGAATAGACAGACGATAGGATAGAAAAGTAGTTACCATGAACGACAGTGTGAGGGATAAACGAGTGTTTTTCTTTTTCTTTTATTTTCTTTTTTTGTGTGTGTGTATGTTATAGAAACATTCTATAATATATAAACTGCGACAACATTGTAAATCTAGACTCTTTATTGAAGGTCATAAGTGGTTAACTATAAATAATCAAGAAGACAGATAACCTAGTTAAAAGTTCAGCCTCTTCATATTCATATGTTCAGGCCATTGAATAGTGGGCAGAAGAGAGACAAACTCCATCATCTCGGCTTTCATAATTTGTTATTATTTGTGTGTTGCATTATCATATCAGATAGCGTTTAATATAAAACTTTACAGAATTTACTGTCTTATCTGAATCTTTCTGAACACCAAAATGCGTTTTGTCTAACGTACGGGAACGACGTGAAAAATTAGGGTTTCATATAACCTTTATTTCACCAATATTTCGATCCTTCCCCCTCTCTCTTTCTCCCCTTCCAACATCACTCTAGAAAAGCACATACAAGTATTCCACAGTCCATATTTAACCATTTCTCGCTTGTAAGGAAGAAGTGGAGAAAACAAGATTCACTCTGTACCCTTGCCTCTTCAGAGGTTCTCTCCTCTCTTTCCTCCACTTCTTCTTTTTTTTCACACCAAGAAAGATACTATACTGGCAATTTCATACACATTTTTTAACAACGTAAATTGCTCTTTTTCCCTCACCTGCAGGTACAATATGGAACACACAAGGTGTCTTTTGGGTTCCTATCTCATTAGCTGCCCAGCAGAGCAGTGTGCCGTAGTCCAGGGCGGTCATGGGCGTGTAGGTGATGACACTGTGGCTGCTGGACGAACTGAACCGCCCCTGTGGGACGTCAATGGTGTCCGCCGTGTTGTTGAACGTCCACTGGAAGGACTCCTGCAAGGGGTTGGCCTCCACGGAACAGGTCACCTCGGCGTCCTCGTAGCGACCCACGGCGTAGGTGGTGACCTGCTCTGGCGAGCACACAGGGGCGTCTGGAGACGACACATCAGAAGGAAGAAATATCAAATCATCGTTATCATGGCTCCTCTGCGAGTAGAAAACAGAATGAATATTGTGTGTGATATTCGTTTTACAGGGAATCATTAACTACTCTGTTTACTTGGGTCCACTAGAGCAGAAAATACAACAACATTACGTACATTGTTTCTCTTACAATGGCACACAAATTTCTTCCTTCACAGGGTTCTCTGAGGGTAAAACACCAAGCAGTATTGTGTGTAGACCTTTGTGTTCCTAGGACTTCTCTAGGCCAATAAAGCAAGGCAGTGTTGTGTAAATTAATTTTTGACATAAAACAGGATAGGAGTTTACGAACTACTGCACTTGCCAAGATCCTCTGAGGTAAAACACAATTTATTATTATCTATTTATTTTTATTTTTTTTAATTTTACAGGACCCATAGAGAAACTGTTTACAAGTTCCTCTTTGGGCTAAGAGAAAATATCGGAAATTTATGTAAATGAAGATGTGTTACAGGAATCCTGGTGTGGGCCAGTAACAGGAAGCTGTTGTGTGTGAGAAATTGTATTTTACACAGTTAAGTAAATTGCTTCCTTTACTAAGATAATGTTTAATGTCTAGATTATAATCTAGACATTAAACACAACACAGCCATCTACATAAACAACGAACTTAACCATGCACTCAAAACAGTTAGATAAATACTGAACACACTAAATCACACACTAAATCACACGCGCACACACACACACACACACACACACACACACACACACACACACACACACACATCACGACTGAACAAAAATCAAGCAAATTCTCTCTCTCTCTCTCTCTCTCTCTCTCTCTCTCTCTCAGGCACTCACACTTCACGTCGAGTCTCAGAGAGTTAGAGGCGCCATCACCGACGGGGTTGTGAGCGAGGCAGGAGTAGCGACCCGCCTGTGCTCTCACCACCTGCTGTAGCACCAAGCTCTGGTTACTGACGATCACCCCAGCTGACACGTTGTGCACCAGCGCCACGTCCTGCAGGGGAGAACACGGTAGAACACAGAACAAGAACAGGGAAGACTGTGGGAAAAGGCAAAGAGAACGGGATAACAGTTTTAAGAACGCGAGAACTCAATAGAGAACGAGAGAATAGTTGCAAGGACGGGAGACCTTAATAGAAAACAAGAGTCGGAACAGCATGAATAAAAAGTTGTTTTGCCAATAGCCTCAAGAGTGGTCGGCGAAAAAGTAAGCAAAACATATATGCTTTCTGAGTGGCCATTCGGCACCCAAACGTAAAAAAAGAAGACATCCTGGTATATATGCTGTCTGAGTGGCCATTCAGGTTAGGTATACAGTAAAGTGCAGCAGAGAACCCGGCAAAAATGTCCTTTGAGGAAGAAAGAGAATAAAAACATGCACATATGCCCTCTGAGTGGCCATTAAGTAAAGAAAATGCTGGCAGGCAACCGTGTGCATGACTTCAAAAGGGCTGCAACCGCCTCAAACACGTCTTAGTAAAGAGGACAAAACTACAAAGTTGGAGACATTGAAGTCCTTTACCCTATAGAAAATACATAAGATGAAAATACACAAAGAAGATTAAAAACAAAAAATGCGGTGTAAAATAAGACAAAATAATACTGTAATATACGTGAAAAAACACAATAATTAATCAAATATAATAAACTAAAATAAGATCAAAATGTGAAATATGATACAGAGTGGCCGGCACAACACTCGACCGCCTTCACTTCGCCAGTGACCCTTAGAACGGGAGGTGAACACTGTATCCATTCGACCACTGCCCCACTAAAGAATTGTTCACAAAAGCGATAAAAAACAACAAATACGTAAATAGAAATGTATCTATATATATATATATATATATATATATATATATATATATATATATATATATATATATATATATATATATATATATATATATATATATATATATATATATATAAAATGTTAAACAAAACTGAAGAGTATTCCCTTTTGGAGGACGAGACAATAATTATCAAGACATTTCCAAAAACATTTCATAAGTTGGAGAACAATAATAACAATAACTCGCTAGAGAACATAGTTTATAAGAGTTTAAACGCCTGGAAAAGAACAATTTATATATCAATAACTTGAAGAACATATACAGCTTCCACTTGTTATACAATAAAAAGTATGATGTCAGTGTGACGAAGGAACAAATTTTAAGATTAATAAAGAATAAACTATGGAGTGTTTGCCACCTAGAATATGACAATAACAAGTCGTGTTGGAAATCCACTTGTTTTTTTCCAGAGAGAGAGAGAGAGAGAGAGAGAGAGAGAGAGAGAGAGAGAGAGAGAGAGATTGACTCACTGGCCTTTCACAGAGCTTGACTTACTAGCCATTCAGGGAGCATGGATTACAGGCCACTCAGATAGCATGACTCCCTGGCCACTCAGAGAGCATTTGCGAGTCAAGCCACACCGTGAGGCAAGTGGGCGGGGAGTCACGTATCCCAGACGGGGAGATAAGGTGCCAGCATCTCCATTTGTTGTGCCGGGATATTTTTTTGTGAAGATACGTAGATCTTTGAGTCTCGTAGGTCCCGCTATCGTTTCATGCATAAACAAACATGATATAGCAAAGGCAATCATTTCTTAGATTATTACCTGCTCTAGCTCTAAGGCGAATTTAAAATAGAAAATATATCCCTCGCGTGAGAACAATATACACTAGTCAGTTCGGGAAAGGCAGCAATCTTTGTGTGTATGAAACGCATCCAAAAATCATGTCTGTTTTCGTCAGTCTTTTGTCTCTAATTTAATTTCTTCCTGTCAACTTTCATCTCCAGTCTGATTAGAAAAGTGCTAGCATCTAGAAAGTCATTGAAGGTATTAATATCAGAACGCCTCGGTCATAAAGTTAAAGAATAGAAAATATCTTAAGTGAGAAAGTTTCAGGACTAGGAAGAATTTTACTTAGAAAGATTCAACGATCAAAAAATATATTTCTGGATGCTTTATATTCAGAAATTTTCCGTGTTAGAAAGTTTCATATATAGAAAGGTTGAGGCCGTTCACCAAGTGCCAGATTCTCAAAGGATCGTAAATTTTATTCTCCTCAGCTGGAGCTGTGAGAACATCCCTAATTGGCTCACTTAAGCTACACTCGAAGATGGGGGTTTCAAAAAGCTCGTACATTAAATATCTCCGTAATTGGTGATACAAGGAGCAGGAACATCAAAGAATTCAGAGCCAGACAGCGCCCGTCGACCATCTCCGTAAACCCTTGCCAGCCCTGGAGAAGAGGACCGGATGGCTAAAATCGACTTGTCCACTCACAACCCGAGGCGGCAGATGGACGTGGCACGTTTTACAAGGTGTCAACGGAGGGTCGGTGAAGATTGTGACCGTCTCCCATGTTGCGGGTCACGTTCCCTGTCACACTGAGGGAATTCAGGATGCTGGACGGGATTATTGCTGAGTCGTTCTTGTTATTTTTTTCTAAATAAATACAGATATACAGTATGTGATCGTTTCTAACAGATTCATGTAAACTTCTGGACACACACACACGCACTCTCTCTCTCTCTCTCTGACGTAAGAACCTTTAAGAATCAGCCTTTGTGTTTTAGCTCACGTATAATACAGATTCCCACATCACCAGGAAGGAGGACAATTTAACACACAGAACTATTTTGAGAATTATTATTAACTGAACACTTGTGATTATGACGAATACAGAGTGAACTTGTAGTGGTGCTATGGTATTGGATGAAAATGTGAGAGAGAGAGAGAGAGAGAGAGAGAGAGAGAGAGAGATACTCACGTTGTGCCGCCAAGAGACCCGCGTCACAGGTGGGTTTGCTTCAATATAACACTCAAAGTACACGTCGTCTCCCTCCTTGATGTTGGTGGAGTCCAGTGACGCTCCGTAGCTGCACCTCGCTGTCGGCACGTCTGTGGGAGAGCGTGAGGGGAGTGTGAGAGTGTGTGTGAGAGCGGAGAGAGAGTGTGAAGTGTGTGGGAGAGCCAGAGAGTGTGCGGGAGAGAGTGTGGGGTGTGTGAGAGCCTGGGAGAGCTGTCGTGGAGAGTGTGAGAGTGTGTGGGAGAGCTGTCGTGAGAGCACTGTGGTCTGTGGGAGAGCGAGAGAGTGTGAGAGTGTGAGAGCGAGGGGAGTGTGAGAGTGTGTGTGAGAGCAGGGGAGTGTGAGAGGGTGAGGAGAGTGTGGGAGAGCGGGAGAGTGTGAGAGTGTGTGTGAGAGGGGAGAGGTGAGAGTGTGGGAGAGCGGGGGAGGTGGTGTGTGAGAGGGGGAGTGAAGGTGTGAGAGGGAGAGGGTGAGGCGGGGAGAGGGGGAGGGGAGAGTGTGGGAGAGCGGGGAGTGTGGAGGGGGAGTGTGAGAGGGGAGAGTGTGAGAGTGTGTGTGAGGCGGGGAGAGTGTGAGAGGTGTGGGAGAGGGGGAGGAGAGTGTGGTGAGATGGGAGAGGGAGTGTGTGGGAGAGCGGGGAGAGTGTGAGGTGTGTGGGAGAGCGGGAGAGTGAGAGAGTGTGGGAGAGCGGGAGAGGGAGAGTGTGAGTGGGAGAGTGTGGGAGAGGAGAGTGTGAGAGGTGTGTGGGAGAGGGGGAGAGTGGGGGTGTGTGTGGGAGAAGGGGAGAGGGAGAGTGTGTGTGAGAGCGGGGAGAGGTGAGAGTGTGTGGGAGAGGGGGGTGGAGGGTGTGTGGGAGAGCGGGGAGAGGAGAGTGTGTGTGAGAGCGGAGAGAGTGGGTGAGTGTGTGGGAGAGCGGGGAGAGGTGAGAGAGTGTGTGAGAGCGGAGAGAGGTGAGAGTGTGTGTGGGAGGAGGGGAGAGTGTGAGAGTGTGTGGGAGAGGGGGAGAGTGTGAGGGTGTGTGGAGAGCAGGGAGAGTGTGAGGGTGTGTGGGAGAGCAGGGGAGAGAGTGAGGGTGTGAGAGAGGGAGAGAGGTGTGAGGTGTGTGTGGGAGGCAGGAGAGTGAGAGAGTGTGGGAGAGGGAGAGAGCGAGAGAGAGGGAGAGAGGTGGAGAGTGGGAGAGGGGAGTGTGGGAGGGGGAGTGGGGAGGGAGAGTGAGTGTGTGGGAGAGGGGAGAGGTGTGAGAGTGTGTGTGTGAGAGGGGAGAGTGAGAGGTGTGTGGGAGAAGAGGGAGAGGAGAGGTGTGTGGAGAGAGGGGAGAGGTGTGAGAGTGTGAGAGGGAGTGGGAGGGGTGTGTGGGAGAGTGTGGGAGAGGAGGGGGGTAGAGGGAGAGTGTGTGAGAGCGGGAGAGTGAGTGTGTGTGAGAGCGGGGAGAGTGTGGAGGGTGTGTGAGAGGGGAGAGGAGAGGTGGAGAGTGGGGAGAGGAGAGGTGGGAGAGCGGGGGAGAGTGTGAGAGGGTGTGAGGGAGAGGTGTGTGAGTGTGGGAGAGGAGGGGAGAGCGGGGAGGTGAGAGGTGTGTGGGAGGGGAGAGGTGAGGGTGTGGGAGAGGGGAGAGTGAGAGGTGAGAGAGAGGGGAGAGTGTGAGTGTGTGAGAGAGTGAGAGTGCAGAGGGAGAGTGTGAGAGTGTGGAAGAGCTGGGAGAGTGTAGAGAGCTGTGTGAGAGTGTGGGAGAGAGGGAGAGTGAGAGTGTGTGTGAGAGTGGGGGAGGGGAGAGCGGGGGAGAGAGAGAGTGTGTGGGGAGAGGGGAGAGTGAGAGGAGAGCGGGGAGAGTGTGTGGGAGAGCGGGAAGAGTGTGAGAGGTGTGTGAGAGCGGGGAGAGTGGAAGAGATAGTAGGGAGGGCGGGGAGTGTGTGTGGGAGAGCGAGGAGAATGTGAAAGTGTGTGTGTGTGTGTGTGTGTGTGTGTGTGTGTGTGTGTGTGTGTGTGGAACAGCGGAGAGAGTATGTACAGGGAGGGAAGGAAATGTGTGAGTGTGGAAGAGCGAGGAGAGTCTGAGATTGTGTGGGAGAAGAAGGGGGAAGTGGGGGTGCATGGAAAGTGTAAACAGTGTGTGGGCAGAGAGAGAGAGAGAAGAGAGAGAGAGAGAGAGAGAGAGAGAGAGAGAGAGAGAAGAGTAAATCAACGCTAAATATCACCACAATAACAAGATTGAACAACTATTAATCATAGCTGTGTTAGTTCAGGATTTATTATACGTCTGGCAGCGTAACAAAGTGTCGTAGCTGGAAAAAATATCTCGCGTGGAAAACAAATCATTGTCGTTCACCACGTCAGCAGAGGCGCTCGTTGGCCAGGCGAAAGCAACTATACCCGTCGGCATATGTCTAGACTCATGAAAAATAAGAATAATTTGTATATTTAGTAAGAATAAGATAGTAAAAAAAAAATTAAAAAAAAAAAAAAAATAATAATAATAATAATAATAATAAAAATAATAATAAAAATAAAAATAATAATAATAATATTATTATTATTATTATTATCAAAGTAATTTATTAAAGTTGAATCTAAAAGTTATGAAAAAATTTCCAAATTATTATAATACATAAAAGTCGGAAGATCTTTCATGTGTGTTCAAATCCCTTCAAATATTCAGCAGTTTCGAGACATCTTCAAAAACGTGTAAAATTTTAAGGGTCAACCTGTAAAACTTTTCTCTTAGACACGAACCGTAGACAGAAAAAATTGCCAGATAAAACAAAAACGAACAATTGCAACAAATTGGACATCTGAATTTTTATATCACTGAAGAATATATATATATATATATATATATATATATATATATATATATATATATATATATATATATATATATATATATATATATATATATATATATAGATTTGTGAGTGTATGTATGTATGTATATGAAACAGAATGTATATAGAATGCAACAACACAACCATGAAATCTAATTCCCTGCAAGAAGGACGTAAGGTAGAGCACCTGACAACACCTGGTAATTAAGACTAACATAGCTGTTTAATTGTGTTGTTTATGATGACAGGGAGAATATTGTGGCTAGTCTCTCTCTGGTTAATATCATTGTCTCTTTCTCGACTCTCAGACTTTAGTTGAAGTATCTCTCTCTCTCTCTCTCTCTCTCTCTCACTCTATTTGTCACTTTCTTTCTCTCTTTATCCATTTCTAGATTTCTTTTTCTTTCTACATAAACTACTTAATTATCTCTCTCTCTCTCTCTCTCTCTTTTCACTTCCATTTTTCCTACATTTACCACAGATTCAGGATTAATAGAAGTGAGAGAGAGAGAGAGAGAGAGAGAGAGGTAATGGATCTTGAAATTAAAACTCCCAAAATGAATCGCCTCATCTAGATCAGTAATACAAGGTAGCCTACTAGCACTCATCCTAAGTGCTTTCTCTTTCTCTCTCTTCTTTCCCCTCTTCTTGTTCCATCCCATTTCCCTTCCATCTCTATATATATGTTTGTGTTCCTCTCTTATCTCTCTCTCTTGGCTCTTCAATTCTCTCTTTTACTCTGTTAATTTTCATTTATCCCCTTTATATTCTGTGCTTCTTTCCACCTTCTTTCTCTCTCCATTTCACTCTTAATATTCCTTCTCTCCTCTCTTTCTCTACTTCCACCCTCTTCTCTCGTTCTGTATCTCCCATCTCTTTACTTAACCTCTCCTCTCCTCTCCTCTCCACTCCACTCCACTCCACTCCACTCCACTCCACTGCTCTCCTCTCCTATCAAGGCTCTTACAGTTTCCTTCACCAGACAGTAATAAAAATTCACCAGGTAATTTGCATAACTTTCTATCGTATGCAAATGTCTTCCGTATTCTCTTACTGTGCTTTTCAATGCTAATTTTACCGGCATCTGGCAAAATATAATATAATTTTGTCTTTTGTATTTCGTAACTCACCTTATTGGTATTTCGGCTGTGTTAATTTGATAAATATTTGCCTTCTCTGACTGACTTACTGATTTTGTTTTTTCCGAGTGAAGCGGGTTAATTTTTATACACGTGTGTCATTATATACGCTGCTTCTTCACTAACGTATCTTTTATTAATTCCTGGTTACCTGCAGCAAAGGTCACAATAAGACCAGGTGTTTTTATCCTATGTTTTTTAGTTATTATTTCTAAGCCAGGTTATGAGTGTTTACCAGGGAGGAAACATCGTCAAAGGATGGGACTTGGTGCACTATACACCTTGAAGAAAGACGATTAATTGTATATCATCAACATTTATAATGACTCAAGTATCTTAATATGAATACGCCAAAGATAATGAATTTTCAACAAAAGTAACTCACAGTTTCTCTTCATATACCAAAGGATAACGTCACAAAGGCATAATAAAGTTAAATCACTATTTCTCATTAACTGATGGGTAAACACTCGTCAAAATTGGCAATGGCGAGTGTCGAACCTTCATTAATTCATTAAATAAACACGCGATCGAGCAAGATAAATGACGTCGAGAGCATAAGGTTCCCGTTCCAGAGGCAATAGCAGAACTTGGTTGAGGTTAATGTACTGTAAATCATCTCTAATTACCGTGTTCATTCAGGTGCTCTACTGTGGCATTCTCCTTCCACAATAAGTCTATGAATCTGGATGTTCCTCCCTTGTCTTTTCCCACTAGCCAGCACCAGTCATCAGCTTCACATCCTTTCCCATAAATCATTCGACGTCATGCTATCCACTAATTCGTGCTCTCTTGCTGCTTCCTGTCTATCCACCTCACGTCTAGTGCATCCTTCACCTCATCCTTTTACCTCCTGCCTGGTCTCATCCCACCCCCCACCCCCACCCCCCTCCTCCTCTTCCTCCTATACCATCCACCTCTGAGTCATAAACCAATCTTTCACTTTTCATTCTCTCATTATATCCAGACTTTGATCTCTCTCTCTCTCTCTCTCTCCCTCTCTCTCTCTCTCTCTCTCTCTCTCTCTCTCTCTCTCTCTCTCTCTCTCTCTCTCTCATAATTTCCATCCCTTCCTCATTTTCTCAATTATTTTATAAACTTTATCATATTTCTACCACATTATACGCTCTTAAA